AATAATGATCGGCATGTTGACCACCACTATTGACAACATTTCGAACCCCTGTACCATAACATGTCCCATGACTATTATAATAATTTAACTCGTTTAGACGAGAACTAATTAACTTTATCGAGTAAACAGATCTTTTAAATACATATTTATGTATCATTTAATGTTTCCTGTCTTTTATATTCTCGCGTTTGTTTTACTTGCTATTAAAATGTGATTACCTAATTTTATTACTATTACACAAAGGAAAATAAATAAGCACCCCCTATCGTTAATATTAAAGGAGGTGTTTATTTTCGGAACTACACGGTAATCGCCATTTTCCTATAAAACACCTTTTTACCCGAACTCCAAATTTTCTTCAAGTAGATAAGCAAAGCTTCAATCTCAGCGTACTTGAAAGCAGAGTCCTATGTCATCACCAACCGAGCATAAGCACGACTCAAAACACATTTTCTTCTATAAAATAACCATATTTTTCTTGCCTGATATCGCGTGGTGGGAACGAATGGTCGTAAATAGACCTTGCTTTTTTTTTCTGCCCGTTCGATAACGTCTACATCATACAAAGGATAGTAGCGAAACAGAAAAGCGCAAAGTTGAGATACACACATGCAAATAAAAAATGTATCTCACAAGAAGCAACCTGTGTCGATAACGAAGAACCCGATTGCATTGGTTCCCATCGACAACGACGATAACAGTGACACCAACGACGCTGACAACAACAAAACCTTTGTCGATTCGGTTATTCAAAAAATTACCGTCTATAGCCGTAAATTCTGTAACACATGTCATAGTAGATGCGATCAAGTTGTTTCTGTAAACATGGACATTTCGTGGCAAAACGGATTTCGCGAATACGTCGGTTCGGATACGTATACCGTAATCCTCATAATTTTACGAACACCAATCGTCAGAGGCCAAACGGGAACGGAACAGAATTGAACAGGGCTAATAACCATATGGTCTTCGGAATATTTGGTTATCTTTATGCTTATAATGTGGAAAGACGGAGTGTATGTATGTGAGAAATTTGGAAGTTTAACATTTGCTTCTATTCCGGAATCAAATTCCTATGATGAAAACAGATATGTTAAATTTATGGTAAGCTTTATTTTTTATTTTTCATTTTTCATTTTTATAAGCATCCCTAGTTGCGTATTCTAAACCAATTCTGTTATCATTAAACTGAAGTAGAAAATACTGTGATGCGATACAAAATTGAGTCACCTGAGAAATGATCAGCAAAGATGATGAGAAAATTGTGACATTAGAAAGTTCGCGTTTACTCGTTTACATTAGCCTTCGAGGGTCTGGCTGGAGAGATCAGAATGGGAGAATTATTCCAAGAATAGAACGTTGGGAGTTCGGGAACTGTGCGGAAACAAATTCTTGTATGTACGTTTTGTATACTATTTCTAAAGAAAATATAGACTTTTACTAAGAAGAGGTTTCGCGATTGCAGTGCGATTACAGGCGATTACAGTGCGATTATAGGTATTTATTTGTGTGTAATAAATTCCAATGTGTGGGTTGTGTAATGAGTGCCCTGCTCCGACACAAGTTACACATACCATAGTAATCGTAACTCAATTAATATAAAATCGTTGGATGAATGTTATTATCGTTTGATATTGACAGGAATATCCCTGTTGAAGACTTGGTGAGTGATCAAGAGATAACCAATTCGGTTCTTCAAGCGATGATGAATTAAAACTGCGCTAATAATAAAGAAGAGTTATCAAAAAGCATTTTATACAAAGAAGCTCATTCTGCAGTTTAGACGACGCTGATGTTTTGGAACAAAAACGTGATAATAATATAGAAAATTGTTATAATAGGTTTTGCATTATGACTTGTTGAGTTGATTGGATAATTAAATGTGGTGTACCAAGTGAAGTAGAAACAGTATTTAATGATAACTGTTGAGTCAATTGAATAACTGTTTCTTCACATGAAGTAGCAATATTTTCTGGAATTTCTAATAATGTTGGGGATTGTTGGAATGTGCTTGGAGTAATTTTATACAAAGTAGTATCTTCCAATTTTGGTGTCTCTGAAGTTTCCACTAATGGAACAATAACACTCTCATCCATACTGTCACACTTTGCTTTTCTATAAAATTATTTTGAACTTTGTTCCTGTTTCTTGAATCAGGTGTCAGACTATTTTATCCAGTAAACACAACAGGTTGGAGATTACTCATCTAACACAAATTTTATCAAACTGGTTTGTGATCATTCTCCGTTGATTTCATATTTTTACTTTCTCGCATACATAACCAGCCTGAAACAGTGACAAGTACGCAATCTTTTCCCTACAAGTACGTGACCTGCAAAGTAGCCGTTGAAGTTTGCATTGACTCCAACACACATTTATGGTGTGCTCACGAACAAGTATGCATCCTTTCCCTCTAGGTGCAGAACAACTCAGGCCAACAAGTCGATAGAATAAATTTATTTAAAATCTTGCTTCCACGTTAGTATCTTCCGCCCAATAGCAAACGTTTCTGAATAGTGTTTACGAATAGTATTTAGCTCACATTCCTAATGAAGGTGCTTAAAACATTTAGAGAGAGACGTGTTTATTTCGGGACTACGATAAACAATAAGTTTTCTTCATGCAATAATATTACAAATAATGACCATTATTGTTACAACAAATTCTCTTAACTCCAACATTTTGCAGAACACATCAGTAATTCAACTCTGTTAACATTGACAGTTTCTTATTTGGATTTTTTACGTTTTAGAGACATGTTTACCCTAATGTGAATAGAATTGCTTATAGTCGTCTCTTTGTTTGTATCTCCACTTTGTGACGGGGAATATAAAGAGGTGGCGATTTTTCGTCTGTTTATTTTACCGAAGGAGTTTCAGAACTTTCGTTGAGAATTTGTTCTTCGTAATTTATTTAGCTAATAAATTATATTACGTTTTAACAATATCAAGTGCCTTGCTCATACAAATTATGATGAATTCGAGGAAATTTATTTTTAGTATCGGGGGAGGTTAAGCACATATGTATATAGTGTATTTAAAAACTATGCTCTTGGCTAACGTCATCTGGTTTGCTAAAGTTAAAGTTATGACATCATCGCTTTTCAGCACGTTTTCGAGAATGTAAATTAGGAACATGACTTCTGCACGTATAGTAAATAGGGTATATGATATTGATATTAATAGATAACTATATTGGTATGATATGAAGATTTGGGGGGACGACAAAATGGGGATAGGGTTATTTTTGAAGAGGCACGAATAGGGTAAATTTATGTTGAAATATAATCAGTCCCGCTTCACAGGTTGGATATAAAGGATGGGAATACAAAAGAGATATAACTGTGTATTAGATTATCATTAGATATTTCAGTGTTCACTATGTATAAGAGATACACAACAGTGTAAGGATGGTAGCGAACAATTAATATGCATTTTGTTCGTTCTCTTTATAATAGACGTGTAGTAGATATACAATCACGCGTAATATACGTGGTTTAGATATCGATAATCCGGATTCAATGTCTTGATTGTTCACATTAGATTTATCGAGTAATGGATAATATTACGAGAAAGTCATAACAAGCAAAAAGTAAAATTTACAAAGTCACGCTACGCTAGGTGTAAATTCAGAGTTTTCGGAAGCACAGAAAGTGTAATTAATCCAACGTTGGTTCCAAGAACTATTAGGCGTCTTTGTGGTGAATAGAATACATTAAATCACTTTGCTGGCTTTCTAACGCATGATGATTGAGTTGTTGTAGTTTGAATTAAGAGTGCATTGCGGCCACAGTAGACGGCCTGCAGTGAACGTTCTTCAATTGGTTTGACGATGATATGCAATTACGCAGTAAATTCTTTTTTGCAATAATTGTTAGCTCAGATCCGAAAGACAACGCATTGATGTCATTGTACAGCTGTACGATAATATTGAATTATCATACAGTGTAAGAATCACTCTGAACCAGTTTGTTAAATATATATATTTATCGAGTATAGATTATTTTTTATCATGTTATTATTATAGACGCAGATGTTCTTTGGGAGTCGGAGAGAATTCCTCCAATAATAGTCGCACTTAATTTAAAACATATTGATAAAAGATGTTTATATGGGTTAAAAACAGTTGACTACATCGAATATTAAGCTACGTTTATGGTCTCAAGCTCGTATTAACAGTTTCGAACATCAAACTCGAGTTCATGAGCTTTCAAAAAAACTTTACAAGCTGTTGGACAACAAAGACGTTTTGACGTATTTTTACGGTCTCTCCGAAAAGTATATTAATATTATTATTCGACATCTCGATATAGTAATAATTATTGGTGTATAGTTCGATGGATAGAAGAATCAAACTAGTAAAGAACCAGTCTTTTCTTGGAACAGACCCATTCTAAAAATCAAAAAAAAAAAAAAAAATTTTTTTTTTTTTTTTAATTTTTTTTACTAAGCACTGGTTGAACACAATAAACTCTTTCTAATGCACGCTCTCACTTTCGGTCCCAAAAGGCATTTCCATTTTTGATACCCATTGTCATTTAGCTAGGGAACATTTACTGTATAACGATTGTGCTATAAGTTAGATAGCTTTACGGTAAAAGCGCATGTCTCGGAATATAAACTTACATTTATAAACATTTGGAACATTAAATGTCTTACATAGTTATTACGTCCTCTTTATGTTATTCAGAAAAAGTACTCGCCACTAAACTGTATATATCACTACTTATAAATAAAAGTTCTTTATTCACCGCGTAATATGATGAAGAAAATCAATACTTATTAAATGAACGATTCAACTAATGGAATTTCACTTGTCGAACGGCCCTCTACCAATTCTGCTACGTTGGATACAAATTCGATACAGTATCGCCACAATTGATTTTGGCATGTCAGAAAAATGCTTGATTTATGCTGTACTTCGCCGGTAAAACAAACTTCATTGTATACCCACGCTTACAATCACAAAATGTAAAAAGACAAATTTTCAGTTTTTGTCGTATTTGAACAACATTCCTTTTCCGACGGTTTGAGTTATAATAATAAAGTTCTCGTGAAAAACATGTGATTGTAAAACTATCAGACTCAGTAGGGTTAATCTTAACAAGACACAGTTTTATCAAGTACCCGTTTTTTATATTAGAACAATGCATATATATATATGCTAGGCTATATCAGGATAACAAATTTGTGATAAAAAGCAAATTACCAAAAGTGTACTTATGATTTTATTCCGCTTCTCATGCGGGAACGCCTGGGAATGACATACGTTATTGTGCCGGATTTTACCAACTGTTTATGCCAAGACGACAGTTCGTAGTTTTTGGGGGCGTGGAGCTATCGTAAGATACCTTCTATTGTCAGTCAAGATGCTTTGAAAATTTGTTGAACTTGGCTGATGCTAAATTATGTCATCTTTCGTAGTCAGAGTCTAGCCAAATTTCCAAAGAGATGGGATGCGTCATTCATTGTCAAAAAAGCAAACAAAACAAAAACGAAAAAGCCCAGCCTCGTTGTGGTATTTTTTTTATTATGACGGCAAAACCATTATTATAGATTTCATTGGTGCTATCATGATTAAGTTTCTTACCGACTCTTGGGTAAGCCCCCACTCTTACCTTTTTAATAGAGAGACGGGCGCACACTTTATGAACTTGACCAAATACTGAATATGGGGGGCCTATTTGATGCAGATCCAGTAGCAAAGGATAAGACTAAAATTTAATGAAGATCCTGGGAAGTGTTAATTAGATGGCCGCAACAACAATTTCCCAGGGTTTGATAAAATGTGGCAAGAAATCACGCACACGAGATTTACATTCGCCTGATCTTTTATAAGCAGTAAAAGAAGTTTTTTGAGGGAAAGAGGATTGTTGTGGTGTCGACCTATTTTCTCGAAATCGTAACGGAACGTTCTGATGATGATGAAATATGAATTATGTTGCTACAAAAAATCGGCAGTTCATGTGATGCTAGTATTGTTATCTATCATGTTAGCATGCTGTGCCGATGCGCAAGAATATCGATCGTTGGATGGAACAGGAAATAATAAGAATAACCCTTCAGCGGGATCGAATTCACAACCTTACAAACGGCTGAAATCCGTAAATACATTTTACAGGTAAACGCGTTATAGAAACTGTGAATAAGATAATGGTTTACGGGAAGAGAATGCAAATAGTATTGTATCACCAGCTTATATCATCTTTCCCTTTTCATTAAAATCAGTGATGCCAATCAAACAATGTTACAGACTCCAGCTACCCCAGTGAATTGTTCTTCCGCATTGGCAACAAATGTTTACCCTTTACCTCGATGCGTTTCAAATCTTATTTCAAGATATGGTATAGCATCGTACGACCCAGCTATAGCGTCGTTCAGTTCAAAAAGGCAAATTAGCCATATGGTAAGGTGCAAGTAAATGAGATTAACTTAATGGCGCGTCAGCACATCAGACTCGTCTCATCCAACGAATACGCCATAAATACTAACATGACTGTCACATCGCACAGGTAACATTTTTCGGCCAATTCATAATCTTTGATCTAGTCAGAACGCAAAGGATATTCAATGGAGACAAGGTATATATACCAACGGATGATGCCACCTACCAAATACCCAACTCTGCCGCAGCCAAACTATCTTCTTTCACTTCCTTGCCTTTCAATCGGTCGGCCAACAATCCACCGCCATCACCCGATGCAGTCGGAACGAACCAAGTCTCTGTGTTTCTTGATCTCAATCAAATATATGGTGAAAGTCTGGAACTATCAATGATATTACGCGATTCTGGAAGTGGACGCGGAAAATTGAAGACGAGTAGCGGGTCGAATTTTCCTGCTTTCGATAATAGTACATCAACATTCATTACTGGAGCACCTATAACGTCACAGAACATTTTTACGTTAGCAGTTGCTTCCATTTGGATCGGCGAGCATAATGCCAAGTGTGATAAGTTGTACTCGGAACACGGAGCAGCGTGGGATGATGAGACGTATTTCCAAGAGGCGGTCTGTTTTTCTTTTGTTTTTTTTTAAAGACTTTTCAAGTAGTCGCGTGTGAATGGCTTGCTTTACGAGATTTCTGTTGTTTTATTATAGAGACGATGGACGATTGGGCTATACCAAAAGGTAGTAACTGAAGAATATCTCGGAGCCATACTTGGTCAACCATTGCCACCCTACCAAGCTTATAATGACCAACTTATGCCAGCAATCGACGCGTTTTTCCTAACTGTGACCCTGAGATATGGTCATTCGGAAATCAGGTAGTTATACATCACGACGCGTATTGTCAACGAGTTGCTATTGTGCTGGCAGGATTTTTTATAAAAATGGACTGTATATTAATCGTGCGTTTATATAAATACAAGCAATTTATACAATATGCAAAATCTGAACGGAGAAGTGATAGCTACCGTCCCACTGTCTCGAATCCAAGATCACACGCTTCTCCCTAAATTTGGTCTTGCTGAAACACTTCGCTCAATGGCTACGCAGTCTCAACAACAAGTCAGCGTATTCGTTCCTGACGAAGCAAGAGGGTATCAAAATCCATTCGGCGACTATGCTGACGTTGCTGCGTGGGATTTGAATAGGGCACGAGATTTTGGTGAGTGCTTAATGAACGTTTTTGGAACCTGTCATAATTTACGCTTATTTTGAAGAATGGTTGGATTATAGGTATCCCATTATATAATGACATGAGAGCGGCGTTTGGATTGCCTAGACAGACTGATTGGTCTGGGATTACTTCCAATGATGCTATAGCGACACGACTCCAGAATACTTACGGGAGTGTAGACAAGTTGGAAGCGTATGTTGGTGCATTTAGTGAAGATCCCCAGGATGGATCCAATTTTGGCCAATTGTTGACTAATAGTATACTCGATCAGGTATTGCAATTCAAGTTGACATTTGTGGCCTATTATGTGTGTGCTTACGTACACTCGTGCATTGTAATAAATCTTGCAGTATTCCCGCCTGCGCGACTCTGACCGGTTTTGGTACGAAAATACTTTTACCGATGATGAAAGGGCACAAGTTCGTAACACAACATTCCGTGATTTGATTATGCTCCATGCATCAGCTGACGGTGTCCCCCAAAACATCTGGAGTCTCCAAACTACCAGCCTGTCAAACGTAACCGACACTGACAAGGCCCGATATCCCTCGGAACTCCAAGTGTTGTCGCCGCCATATTCAATAAGATGGAACATCCAAAATGAAGATATAAATTTTATGGTTGACTTTGGTGCGCTTAATGGATGGTTTGGTATGGTAAGTAGTGGCATTAATGGTGGGGATGGAAAAAGGTTGTGTGTGTTCTAAATTGTAATGACGCGTATATGATTGATTTTTCGCATTAGGGCTTTGGTTCTGAAGATGGCGGAATGATAGGTGCCGATTTCATTATCACAACTGTAAGTACGCTCTGCACATTCAATGTGACATTGTCCATGTTTATTTAGCGTACGTGTTATTTCATAGGTAAAAAATGGTAATGCAACAGTTGAAAATTATAAATCGGTGGGATATAATCGACCAGTGCTTGACAGTAATCAGGATGTGAAATTTGTTAAGGCTACTGAAACAGCGTCTTCAGTCAAAGTTGAGTTTGCAAGATCACTTGCAGCTAGCTCGCCTAATAGAAAAGAAATTATAAGGGGCAGCATGCCATGTAAGGTTGAATATAATGAGTGTTTTTTATAACGGATTCGCGCGATTACAAAGATTTTCATCGAGATACATTTTATTTCGTAATATGAATAGTCATTATAGCATATGGCACAGATTCGGATAATATCGGTTATCATATGAACAACCGCCGTTCAGTGACCGTTAATTTCTTCACGGCTCAATCTGATGTTTCAATCGATTCTAAGCAACGGCAGATAAGATTGGCTCATGGAATCGGAATGATAATTGCTTGGAGGTATATTTTATGACAATTCGCAGGCTATTATTGGATTAATTCTTAACGACATTAATTTTGCTTATCTTCCTCTTATGACAGTTTTATTTTCCCCATATCTATTTTCCTAGTACGTTTCTATAAACATACCTTTGGCTATCTTCAGTTGCATAGGAATCTGCAGATATTGGGCGGGTTTTTGGTCGCAATATTCGGAACTGCCGCCATTGCCTCGCTTATAACCTTTAAAAGAAGACATAATGTGTATGTGTTATTATTTGTTTTTTGGTATTGTCATGTTCTTCGTTACAATCGATTTAATACATATTTCATTTTACATAGTATTGGATTGATACTATACAGCTTTACGTTCTTTGAGTTAATCCTGGGATTAATTACGCTTTGGGGTCAGAGACGCTTCGAGTCTGTGAATGAGGGTATTCCGAGATTTTTAAAGAGAGCGCATCGTTATGTTGGCGCGTCAATGATGGTATTGGCGGTGTAAGTAGAAATGAGCAGGCTATTATTCGTTTAAATTTTGTTCAATACAAGTTGATCTAATTGTTTATACAGGTATAACCAATACTTGGGAATTCAACTCTATGCAGAACTATATTCAATGTAAGAAATCTTATTTCCGATTAACTCATGGTGTCATATTCACATTATTCTCATTGTCTAATCTATTTTAGTAATTTCGAGCCCTATGGGATTGCATACGCAGTTTATACATCGTTCGTAATTCTACTGTTTTTATTAGCTCAATTATGGAAAACGACAAATGGCGGATTTATATCCAAGTTCCAACGCAAGAAACCTGTAAGTGAAGGAAAGGAGACGTTACAAGTCCACGTTGCAAATGAGAAACTTGTCGGTCTACCCGAGTGGTCATGGGATGAAGTAAACGAACGAGTTCAACGAGGGGTAAATGAAAACTTATCGTTGGAATTGTCTTGGTGCTTCAATTAAATTGCACAATCGCATGTAGTATATCAATAACTTTAAATGCAACCATTTGATTTCTAGGCTTTTCTCGTTGTTTGTGATGGCTTTGTAGCTGACATAAGAAAATGGTTTAACGAGCATCCTGGAGGAACTAAAATATTAGAAAGGGTCATAGGAACTGATATCACTAACGGTAATATGGAACTGCGGATATAAATTAATTCACAAGACGTCACTAATACGATTAATACCCATTAACAATATCTTCTAGATTTTTACAATACTCACAAGCTTACTCAACAAGAAGACGAGGACGATGGACTACAAGACGTCCAAATTTATTGTCATGAACAACCAGCCCCATTAGTTAGCCCTATTTTGGGAAAATATTCTCAACTCTGGCAACACCACAATATTCATTCCAGCTTCCGTCAACGCAAGCTCTCAAAAGTGATCGATTCGACCAACATGAACTTGTTCCATAAATTACGAGCACCGATTGCAAAACATACTCATTCTGCCTTTGCCACGGTTCAGTTCTCCAAAATGATAGTTGCTAAAATTGCCGACGACCATTATTCAGTGGCTTCAGATGAGGACTCTACTCGATTCGAGTCGTACTTTCGCCCTCAGAGTCATCCATATTTCGAACAAGACTTGGCTAAGAATCCCGGAAGAAGAGTGTTTAGGCGGTATCAACTGTCAGACAAGACGTGGGTTAATGCTAGTGAGCAGTATCCAGTAATTAAATTTACTTTTACCAAGATACATCAGTCACAAAGATTTGTAGGGGATAGATTTTTGCCTGGAGATTATGTAGAATTGCAAGCACGCGTAAAGGAACAAGTAGTTGTGCGATCATATACACCATTGGAGGGAAGAATGTCGACATCGTTTTCCATTTACGTTAAAGTGTATCCTACCGGTTTAATGTCTAGGCATTTGGTAAGGATATTTGCTGGTCAATGTTATGCTACCGCTCATCACTTTAATTTGTTACTACCTTAACATTTGCAGAGGAAACAACGTATTGGTTACGAGGTCAAAGTTAGAGGACCATTCGATGTGGCTGACCGCGTGGGATACTCGCATCTGTCACAAAACGAATTATCCACTATAATGGGAAGACGTCCTCGGACCCGCGCTTCTACAATAACGTCAGAAATATCGGACGTATCTAGTCATATGTTATTGAATTCAGAAAGTGCAGATGGATGTTGGGATGAACTATTCATGATAGCGGGCGGAACAGGCATAACGCCGATGGTCCAGGCATGTCATATTTTTCTTTAAGGCGGAATATTATGGCAATCGCTATTTGTTTTATAATTTAACGTTAATAATTACATATCGTAACTATCTTTCCCTCAGTTAATCAAATACCATCTAAAAACGGTGGCAGCAAATGCAGGCCGTGCAATTTCAATGCATCTTCTTTACGCCAATAATTATGTAGAAGACATCATTGATGGCCTCGAACTCGAGGGATACGCTGCTAGAAGCAATGGGATGTTAACGACTACCTACATTCTTAACTATCCGCCTGCAGAAGGATGGGATGGTCTCCGTGGACGTATTACTCTTCATATATTACAGTCCTGGCTTAACCATCATGAGACGATAAACAGACAACGATGGCGACAGTCATCACAGGGACCGATTACAGTGTGGGATAGGACCTGTGGTCATACGGACAATGGTTATGTTGCAAGTGACGTTTATGGTCACGCTGAATGTGAACCTACTCCCGAGAATGTTGATGGCGAACATGAAGTAATCGACAACAGTGAGCATGAAGTGATTGACAACAGTGGGCATGAAGTGGTTGATAACAGTGCGCATGAACTGGTTGATCATAGCAATAGAAATAGTAAAGTTGGTAGTGTTACCGATTCAAATACGTTAACGTTCAACGAAGGCATCGAAGTCAACAATACAATGACCGATACCCAAACAACACTACCAATCAACCAAAATTCACAGCCTACTCGTATCCAATCAAGGGCACCAAGACCTCTTAGTTTTGTTCCGATCACACCGCATAATGACGTACTTGGAACACCATTATCATCATCATATAGCCCCACCATGCTGAATAGAAACGTTCAAGCAGGGAGTAGTCCCTCTTGGACACCGATCGCTGCTACACCTAGTGTGGCGTCACCATGGATGAGTGCTTTTCAGATATCAAAATCGAAGATTGTAGTGTGTGGGCCAGATGGGATGATGAATACTGTATTTAACATACTGAAGGATCTGGGATATGCGGAAGACGAGATCATTCTTTTATATTGATGGAGGATGAGAAAAACATTTGAACCATTGTATATACAATGTCCGTTAGGTTAGTAAACGTATATTAATATATTCGTAAAGATGGAATTGGAAATAATCAGTTAATGCATCTAAATTTGAAAAAAAAAAAATAAAAATTAATAATTAGCCATTAAATACAAAATCTTTGATAATTAGGCAATTTCTTAATCTTAACTAATCACTTTTCGCTTTTTATTATTTATAGTTTGTTACAGTGTATTTTCGAGGGCGTCTGTTTCAGAATTCATTAAACAAAATTATACCGTTTAAAAAGCTCTACTACTGTCTTATTAGAACTTGTGTAATGCTAGCCAATACATTTATTATGCGTTGCTAGTGATGGATTCTCGTAATCAGCATGCGCGTTCACATTCCTGCTTTCTTAAGCTGTAGGCAGCTATTCATTTGTGTCCTTTCTACACGCTTGCGCGATATCAACTGCTTCAACGAATGTTCGATCCCCGCATAAGCAGTAGGTGACATTGCGAAGCAACAAGATTCTTCCACGCTCGAAATTTACGTGGTTTTTAAGATGGCATAGGCCCAAAATGAAAAACCAAATCTCATCTTTTTTTTTTTTTGATTCGCAAAGAAATTCATCGTGATGTCCTGCAACTTCATTTAGGTAAGTCAATTCCAATTCGTCAAATAATCTTGATTCTAGACTCATTTCAGCTATAAACTGTAGTTGTAATGTGAATAAATACAGGTTCCACGCATTGGAGTCTTGCTTTCTTCGTCCGCAGTCATTGCTGTTCATCAAGCCTTACTATTACTATTGACTATATAATTTATTGTGTTGAAAATAATAATAACTAGGGTCCGCAGCACTCTTCTACAATGTTCCGCAGTTCATTGTTCAGACTTATTTAGGGACAGGGTGAGACAGGTCAAGTGGCGTGCGGCCCCTGAAATATTTATGTGGCGCTACTTCACAGTGTTCTGGTCTGTCTGCAGAACGCCCCAAATGAAGAGAGCTTACCTTAACAACCATACCCACATACTATATAGTGAAAGTGAAGGAATTGCTATTGATACCGGCTTATAGACAACTGAAACCACATAAACAGCCGCATATCACATACTCGTATACATAACATATACTATTCACAACATACTCATCTCTACCTAGACACTTACAATGAATTCGACCTCCCCGCGCTATTCCCCAACGCCGCCTGCACCCAACCTTGGTGATTTTGGCACATTGTTGCGTTATCTGGAGTCGGAAAAACAGAAATGGCTAGCTATAGATCCTTCAGCTGACATATCGAGCTTATTTCCCACATCTTCCTCCAACCCCCCTCAGTTACCACACTCTTCGTCCTCAGAATACTCCTCAGAAGAGGAAATGATAGAACGAACAATAAAAGCTGTACAGAAGAGGGTTAGAGTATTACTTCACCCTTCAGACGATATAAGTAGCGGTAACGAGAAGGAGAAAAGAGAAGGTGCGAACGGAAAGAAGAAAAGAAAGAAGAAGAAGAAGAAGAAGGGTGGGAAAAAGGATGAGAAGGCTATGGAAAACGGGAACATGAACAGGAACGGGAACGGAAACCAACAAGATAAGCAGAAGAACGGAAACAAAAAAGACAAGGAAAATGAAAAGAATAAAAACAAACGAATTCTAAAAAAAGCGGAAAAAGAAAAGCAGGGGAATTCACAGAGAATTCTCATGGCAGACAAAGGGGAAGCAATCGAGAAAAAGGATATACAAGAGGGAGAGAATGAGGAAAAGAAAGTGAAAGAGAAAGAGAAAGAAGGGAACAGGGAAGCGGGCGAAGGGAACATGGAAGAGAATGATCAGAGTGGGAAGGAGAGCGGAGAGGAGAAAATGGTATGCGTCTTAAAGAATCCTCACTAACCAAGTTTTAAATAGTTCGTTACGTGTGTAAATAAGTTACTGATTCATTCTCTTCGGTTTAACTGGCCCACTAGGAAAAACACAAAAAAGTCCATTTTGATTCTTCCCCGCCACAAGTCGTCCACTTTACACCATCATGTTCGCAAGCAGTCATCTCGTCTCAGAAACAAAAACAAAAACCCAAACCACCATTACCTACTCCCTCTTCGGGAAACTCAACACAGATTCCTATTCCAATTCAATTGTCGACAGATCCCATTCACGTATTCATCGATAATTCAAACATTCTCATGGGATTCTATTCTTATTACCGCGGACAACTCGCGAGAAATTCTAAATCACGAAAAGCGGCCGGCGATAATGTAAATACGGAAGCGCAAATTCAACCAAGGTTGTCCTACGATGCCCTATTCACAATTCTCGAGCGCGGCCGCAATGTAACGCGCAAAGTCCTCGTAGCCTCTAGTCCGCTTTATCAAGACTTGACAGAAGCCGAAGCGACCGGTTACGAAGTCTCCGTATTAGAACGGATTGTGAAGTCCAACTCAGACGAGACGCATGACACTCGTCGTCGCGGACAGTATACTTCCATTGAACGAGAGCAATGTGTGGACGAACTTTTGCACTTGAAGATTCTTCAAAGTTTATTAGAATATCACCCACCCGCAACATTGGTGCTGGCATCGGGGGATGGGAATGACGGAGAGTATTTCCAAGGCGGTTTTAGAAAATGTGTCGTCATGGCGTTAAACAGAGGCTGGAAGGTCGAGATTATCTCTTGGCAACATCAGTTGAGTCATAATTTCTTGCAGCCAAAGTTCTTGCACAAGTGGAAGGGGTTGTATCATGTCGTGTTTTTGGATTGGTTTGCTAAAGAGTTGGGATGTACTTACTGAAAACAAATCGACCGATTGAAACGGCATGCGGCATGTTGATGGCATCAATGTGATCAAAATGCTTGCTGGATTTAGTGATCTCCCTGATTGTTGAATTGAGTATCCGTTGAGTTTTTTGGTTTCCTTCCTTACCTTTGCCATTGTCTTCTGTGGTTAAAGTGTACATATATATATATTCGTAATGGTCCAAATATGTATTTAAGCTTTAATTTGCTTCGATTTAATTCTATTTTTAAATATTAGACTTTCGGTAATGAGATTATCAATTGATACTATCTCAGATCAAAGTTTTATAACTTGAAATATGAAAGTTTAGAAATACTTTAGTTACCGGTTAGAATTTATAATAAGCAGCTTGGTTGTTGATTTATTGTCATTTTACGGACAGTACAACATCTAAGCAACTCTTCTTTCTGTGTCCATTCGTTAATTTTCTCCTTCTTTCTCTCTTGAAGTTTTTTGTAAATAATTCCTTACATTTCCACCTCATGTTTCGCTTGCGATATCAAAAGTCCCTTCTTCGTCTCTATTACATGAAATTTCTGTACATATGTTTGTATTTCTTCTTTCCGTTGGGCTTTTTTATTTAAGGCCGAATTATTCTGATTGGGGATACCGATAGATTAGATGTTTGAATATTGGTAGTTGAGGCATTATTAGAGTAGGTAAATGTTGGTGAATTGCCAAGATGGCTATTTTACAGCTTGTTTATCAAAGCATATTTGGTGGGTGCTATTAGCGATCTTAGAAGTAAAGAAAGCATATCTTTTTATTTTAAGTGTGCATTGCTACGATCCGATGTTTAAAATAAAGTAGATTTGGTGAAAATGTCTATCTTTGCAGTTAATACTTTAAGTATTATAACGAATGCAACAATTCTCTAGCCTTTTCATAACTTACCTCGATAATCGCTCTATTTTTTGACATGGAAATAGTCCCTTAGGAATTGACCGACTATACGAACGTGCTTCCATCACGTCCATTGTTTGTTTTTAATACAAGAAGTAACAAGACAACATTTAATTTAATATTTATGTATAATTAATTTTCGTAATAGTAATAGTACACGAAGATATTAAGGGAAGAAACGCATTTCGCAATAGCGGTAATAACAGGGTCATCGACCAGAGAGATAAAAGTAAATTCATAAATATTAATTAAATAACAAATCGTTCAGAAATACAAATTCGCAAAGGTCAAGTCTACAAATTAAATATCAACGTCCGTATCAAAAACACTCGTCACACCCTCGACAAACCTCCTGAAACTACTACTTCTCGATCTACTTTTGTCGTTCCCACTTCCAGGTACCTCCAGAGAGGAATTATGCTCTTCCGTTCTGCCCAATTCTGTGGCGTCTACATCTTTCGCAAACTGTCTATCCACACTCGGTTCAATATCTATATTCACCTGACCTAAATCAACAAACGTTTTAGAATCATAGTCGATACTGTTCGTTATTGCTGCTCACAATCGCCATCCTTACCCGAACCATCTGTCTCATAAATGTCTTCACGCTCGTCCTCTTCCTCGTTCCTTTTCCCAAACAAAAATGCTCCGATACGCCCTGAAATGTCCGGCAGGATGTGTGCAAATGGATGATCGATTTCGTCCTCTGTTGCAGACGGATCGTATCTGTACTGATGTTCTTCGCTACTTGTGCTGACTTCCTGTTCGTGTTCGTATTCGTCTTCGTCTTGGAGGATGTGAGCGGAGAAGGGGGAATAAGTTTCCATTTTCTGCTCATTCTCGCGTATCACGCTGCGTGTTCGGCGGGAGTATCGTCGTTTGGGAGATGGAGGAATCGAGGTGTAGGTTGATCTTGTATTGGTTTATTGGGCCTAAAAGTCAGTATACTTTTATTGATTTATATGGACTCGTAGCATATACTCGAAATTTATACTGTATGTAAGGTTGTATGTTATAATTATATGATAAACATGTATATAATATTGATAATAGAGATATATTTGTATTATATGCATATAACATATGTAAATGTGATTTATCAAAATTTAATATATTTTTACAAGATTTAGTTGAGTATTCCGAGTTATAGCTCGACATGGATAATTAATTATTTGAAATTTCTCTCTGCAATATCGCCTTCTCTCCTACCTAACTCTCTACATAACCAACCTCTACAAAAAACTTGCTATTAAAATAAACACTTACGGCTCATCAGTGAATTCCCGAACATCGTTATAGTCAATATCAGCATTGAACAGTCTCTGATGTGGATTTCTCGGCTTGTTTAAGACCGACAGTTGTTCTTCTTCTTCTTCCACTACTCTTCTTGGTTCTGACTTGTTCTTCGTGGTAGACAGTTCCATCGTTCGTGAACCTCCCAGTGTAGCTGAAGTGAATTGCTCTTCATCGGAATCATCGTCCTCGAGACTGAAGACGGTATCTTTGGTGCGCGTGGATTCGATAGGAGGGAGAAAGCCTCTAGCGATGGCCTTTTTGTGTGCAGCTTGACGCTTGCGCTCTATCTCTGCTTCTTCCATCAAACGAGCTTCTTCTTCTTCTGCTGCTAGTTGAGCGTCAGCTTGTTGGTTGTTTTTGAACTTTCAGAATTAAAAAATATAAGATATTATTATATATATCGTGGATAGACGGCAAAGTAGTTTTTCACGCTAACGTGAATTTTTGCGTGCTGAAATACAGGAAACTTGTGATTATCCAAGCAAAATGTCAATATACTAGATTGTGAATAAGCGATAGTCTTTCCTTGACACCAATGATAGGATATTACGCAATGTAAATACTTGTCGGGTTTTATCAATCTCTTTAAACTTTCCTTTACATTCCATATTCTCCTCGCGGGTTCTTTCTACAGATACTAGAAATATCTTCGCTCCCGTTTCCCTCTTAATTTGCTTACCTGTTCGTCAATTAACTGTTCCGTGAATTTACTTATCTGTTCGTCAGGTAGAGACACAGCATCGTCCTGTGTATGGTCTTCGTCGTCCGATGCGAAACTAACCCTACTGGAAGACGCACCGTTTCGACCAAACGGAGACATGGGATTCACCCTAAGATATCCTTGTGCGTTGTTTCCACTGGAAGCAGTGCGATCAAGATAAGCGGCTATAGGTTCAGGATCCCGTTGAGCCAGTAAGTTTTCGAATTCCACGTTTCCTTCGTCATCAGAGGCATAATTCGCCAAGGACACCTGGGTGTCAGAACGGCGAAAGAAACAAGGACAGGTCTTGTAAAAACAGTACATTTTCTGTATGGGCCAAGTATGGAATTGTAAGAAAATGGGGACGAACGGGGGAACTGTTTATTACGTTGCGTTCGTAACTATCTATCATCATCAAGATTACAAGTCAAGTCTGTATTTATATATGTACATGTATCGTATACAAAGTGATTGGTCGTGTCAAAAATCACTTGACAAACATGATGCAATGACATCGACCACGTTTGCATTTGACAAGAAAACTGTTCTGCACATCAAATATCAATAACTGTAAATTAAGACAAAATCATTAACTACATGCGTCGTATCGTTACCCTCTTGTCATCATGCATCAGTCTTATTCTCTTTCTCTTGTCCGGTCTACTACTATTGACCAACTTCTTGCTTTCGATAGTCACCCTAGAACATAATTAACGGGAATGCACTTTGATTATCATATCATAACAGAGGAGTTACAGATATTTGCATAGTAACACGGGGAACGGGGACAAGGGGGAATTGTCATATGAGGATTGGGCTAGTTATGTGTCACGCGATACGTCGACGCCACAAAATAAATACAACGCCACTGCATTTTTCAGGGGGTCGTAATCATAATGCGCGTGTTTTTCGCGCGCTTTTTATAAATTCTAATTGGCGCCAGAAATTTTGAGTCTTTATCAAACAGCTCTTTATCAATTTGTAAATTTCAATGAGGGGATGTCTATCAGACATGTCGATGTCTAGAGTAGTTGAATTACGATTAATTTGGATTACAAAGTTGAAACTTTGAGTCTCGCTCAATTTGACATTAATGCAAAGCAGACTCGTTGAGACGGAGCCACGCTAAGCTAAAATTGCATTAAGTCCAAAATTTTTATTATAGCGTGCGCTGGAATTAATTACAGGTTAAACTGTTAAATTCGACATGCCAAAGACCGGTTCGGATAGACTTGACGAAAATTAGTGACAATTGTGAGGTGGCCGATAAAACCCGAGACCGGTTTAATTAGTGCGGTTTAAACAGATTTGACCTGTAATTAACTTGCGTTAAAAGGTAAACTTAGATTTTGACTGATCGAGATAATCTTATCTCAATATTCCAAAGTTTTCACATTGACGGGTTCGTTTTTTGAATCTTTTGATTAAAACAACTCGCGTTGCATTGCCTATATACCGTATATTTTTTACTTCTATAGTAATAGTAATAGTCACTAGCCATTTCCAAAAATATTTCTTTTATCGATTATTTCCAAAGTCGCATATGAAATTACGGATTAAAGTATAGAACGTTACAATCAAACAATTGATACAGTTGTAACAAAAATGTTTACTTCTAGATTTGTTTTTCGAACAGTTTTTTATTTATAACAAAATAAACGTGTTTTTTGGCGAGAATTTGTTGACAAAGTTTTTTTTGGAAAACTTTAATAGTAATATAGTTTTTTATATTTGCGCGCAATCTCTACTGCTGTGAAGCGCCTAAACATTTGCATAAAAACATTACCGTTAATATTAATGGCCCTATAGCCTTATAGCAAACATGGTGGACCGCGACTCTAAAACAATGTCAAAAGGATAAATATAAGCAATTAAGATTATGTATTAGAATATTAACAGTACCTATATAATATTATTTGTTGCTAATAACGTATATTTATAGCTATGTCACTGCAAAGACTTCCATAACGACGGTATAGGTAAATTGCAACATATTCTTTGAGGTTGCAGAGCTAATGCTAGCATGCACAAAGTTATTTTTTAACTCATATATCTAGATAATATTTTATGAGCATTGAACTCTTGTTGACTTAATGATGATTGGCAACGAAAATTAATTCGCGTCTTCGAAGAATTAAATGACCAAAGTTTGTGCTTGAAACTATTTTGAATGCTTTTCAAATAATACTAAACAAATAGTTATAATTTTTACATACATTAAAAGCCAACAAGTTTTTTTATTAATGCCGAATTGCATTGTATTATGACAAAAAAAATTGTCGCTGAACACAAACTGACATACAATTCAGTGATAAAATTTGTGTCGCGGTAAATTAGAAATATTGTCTTGGTTGAAATGCTTAAGCCAGTTAATTAATATAATAATTCCTTTATACGACTAAGCGGTGTCCGGTTATTATTAGTAACGATTTCCTTCAAATCCTTTTTTATTCTCATTAAATGCTGACATTTCAATGAAATTCTGAGTTACTATGACGTTTGAATATTAAATTTAAGAGTTTTACTAACATCTGCTCTTTTGTGACATCTTTGAAAAGTCCAATAATCTGTGAAGTTTAGCTGTTGTTAGTTCACGACCTGCTCCCATTTTTCGAAAATGATCGTCGCGTGCGTTTATGATCGTCAATCTTGCCGTGATAGAAATGTCACCAAACACAAATTTTAGTATTAACGAGAAACATCTTGAGAACAAGAATATAACATTGCAATTGTTTATTGGTAATATTTGAGAGACAAATGCAAAATAAGAGCAAGACGTATGTCAATTTTGTAATTTCGACGACAATTTATTTTAAACAGACACGCATTCCAAATTAATATGGTACAGTCGACCCTCTCTAATATCCACCCCGTTAATATCCACCTCTCTCTATTAGCTACAGTAGTTACAGAACGGATTCCCCATATTTAAATTCTCCCGCATATATCAATTTTTGATATCATCCTCCGTTGAATCCTTATCAACACATATCAGATTTTATTTCTAATTAAATATACCTCGCTGATATCAACATCAATATAAATTAGTATTTTAAAATTTAAATTCTGATATACAATATTTACATATTTCAGTTTTTACTTTGAATTTGCTTTATGCTGCTCTTTGTTCCTATACGTCCCTTCCTTTCCTCCT